TTCGTTATTGTCCATGTTAGATATAGGGCATGGCTTTTCCTGGCCAGGATCATCTTTCCATGGACTCCTCAGATAGTGCTCATATCCCTGATGTTCTGTAAGGATGTGCTTTATGTTTTTGGCTTCATGTTCCTCTCCAGCCCTGACCCTGTAGGATAGAGGATACTAGCAAGGTAGACCCCTATCATCTTTATTCTCTTTGTAAGGGAATTGGGGGAAAGCCCCTGGTACCCTCACCCATAATACACACACACACACACACACACACACACACACACACACACACACACACACACACATATATATATATATATATATATATATATATATATATATTCCTGTGTACCAGAGAGTTTAAAAGTTTGTTTTGTTTTTGAGACAGAATCTCACTATGTATCCTGTCTGGCCTAGAACCCACAATGTAGACCAGGCTGGCCTCAAACTCATAGAGCTCTGCCAACCTCTAACTCTGATTCATGAGTGCTGGAATTAAAGTTTAAGCCATGGATGGTACCCTTCCTTAGTTTCTGTTGCTGATGGAAGATGCTTAACTGCTTTGATTCTTCTTGATGGGATTTAGAAAATAAGATGTGTTTAAGCTACCATTTTACTTGATGTTTTTCCCTTGTTCTGTATGCTAGTACTGAAAATAGAAAGTGAATTTCAGAAGATACTGTTTGATTCCTAAGATCAAAGACTTCATAATTTTTGCCTTATAATAAGAGCAACAAACTTCTTTTAGATCTGTTGAAAACATTAATAATTTTGTGAAAATGACATCCCAGATTAGGGCAAAGAATATTCAAAGGCACTGAGTCAGGACATAAAAAGGAACAAAACTCCGTGGCTGAGCTGAAAGCTGAAAGCTTAGATGGACAGAGAGGAGTCACAGAAGCCCACAATGGCACTGTGAGAAGCCTGGGGCCAGGCTTTATTCTATTGTTTCAGCGTGGCAGGTGTAAGCATGAGCTTGGTGGGACCACTCCTCTTTACAAACAGTCTGTCGAGTGTGAAAGCACATCAGCATTGTGATGTGACACTTGACAAGTAGAGTTAACATTTGAACGCTTCAAAAATCACAATACACAAGAGCTCACCTGGACTTGGACCAAAATAGGCAATGCCACCAAGTGATACCAAAAATCAACACCGTTTGAAAGCTCTGTTCTACAGCCAAACAAAGTAAAGCTGTGGGTTTGAGAGGATGGGGGGGGGGGGGGGGAATTTGAAGGGAAAGTCATCACAGATGTGTGTATACATATGTTAAATTACAACAAAAGACACATAAGGTGGACCTGCAGCCAAACAGTGGTTGATGGGAAATGCTGCCTTTTGACAAACACATAATCCATTTGCATTCATGCCCCAGAGCATCTGGCCTCTGGTTTTCTGTTCTTAGGTAATGGGCTTCCAATTCCCACATGCAAAGTAATGAACTAAGAGACTACTGAAGTGAGTACTGGTGGCCTTTGTCCTTAGGTGTGTACCTTTCCCGGAACATGCACACACTACAGAGAATTTGACAAACACTCCCCTACAAGCTCAGTTGATAACCCCGATTCATCACTTGGGTACCATGTAGCCAAGTTTCCCTCAAAACTTAAATAACGTTAGGGATTTCTGTAGAAAATTATTCTTTCGGATACTCTTTCCTCAGTCTTCCCAAGTCTGGGATGCTGGTTTTGTGACATGTTACACTTCCTGGCATATGCAGTAAAGATCTATGCTGTGCATTTACTGAAGTCACTGTTACAGCTTTAGATGTGGTGGCAGACATGCTTTGTTTCTGTTTTAGATGTGATTCCTAACTAGAAGCTGGCCATTTCTTGCAGGATCTGGCTAAGAAAAAGAGCAAACTGCACAGTGCTATAGGGAAAACTAATGTGTTGGGCTTACTGAGCACCAGAGTGTGTTCGTATTTTGAAGCCAACAGAAGCTGTGCCTCTGGGTGACTTAGATTTTCAAGGCATATTTGACTCCTTGTGTGATCCAACCTAGAGGCTAGAGTTGGCCTTGAACAGTTGGCTTAGCCAAGTGTATGATCTTGCACTTTACTCTTTATTTACAGAATTTACTGAGCTATTCCTATATGATTAAATATTTCTTTTTTTTCTTTCTTTCTTGTTTTTTTTTTTTTTTCTGAGAAAGAGTTTCTTTCTGTAGCTTTAGAACCTGTCCTAGAACTCACTCTGTAGACCAGGGTGGCCTCGAACTCACAGAGATCCGCCTGCCCCCGCATCCTGAGTGCTGGGATTAAAGGTGTGTGCCACCACCACCTGGCTGATTAAATATTTCTTAATATCTTTCATAATATACAGAATTCATATTCCTCTTGGGAACACAATTAATGTGATCATTCATTTATTGCTCAGACCATAACAGCTCTCAAAACAATCTAGTACAGGGAATTTCAGCTGGTTCACAATTAAAGGATGGGTCAGGTGTTCTCTATCTGAGTGTTTTAAATTACAGGATTTTTTTCTCAGTTTTTTCTTTAAGTATTTACATATGTATAATTAGATGTCTGGGGGCTTGTGACCTGGGCCTTCTCCTCTAATTCATTGCTGTGTCATATGTACTTTACATAGCCTGAAGGTGACTTTGTATTATACTTTTAATGCATCCACAGTCTGTCACTTGGGGTCAAGTATGGAATTATCAATAGTGGAACCATATTGACATTCAAAAGATTATGGAATTTTTGTAAATAATATATATGTATATATAAATATATGTATATGAGTTTTTGTCTACATGTGTGTATATATACCACATGCCTTCCTCATGCCCATGGATGTCAGAAGAGGACATTTGATCTCCTGGAACTGGAGTTACAGACAGCTGTGAGCTTCTGTGTGGTTGGTGGGACTCAAACCTGGGTCTTGCAGAAGAACAGTCAAAGCTGAGCCATCTCTCCAGTCCCTAATTTCAGATATTTGATTATTTTAGATTTTTCATATGATAATGTTCAGACTTATTCTTACTGTTAAAGCCAATCCAGCTGATTGGTCAATATCATCTTTGGTTATGTGAAAACAGGATCCTTTCCATTAGTTTGTATGGCTGTGTCCTTCTGAGGCCATACAAACATCATTTGATGTTTCATATCACTGGGAAACTTAGACACCTGAAAAGAATAACTTGCTGTATGTAGATCCTCTATTTTATTCCTACTAAATTAACAAGGAATAACATTTAAATAAAATATTTTAAAGGACCTGCCTTGGTTGCTCCTTTGGCAATAAGCCAGTTAAATGGAATGAACGGTGTCTCACTGTTGGCCCATTGTTTGATGTGCTTGAGAGTCACGTATGTGGGAATAAGATTTTTATTTTTCTATCTAGACATGATCTCTTAAACTGGTTTCATTTTCTTTCTACATATCTACTTGCTAATTTTCCTTTGTTCTTTAATTATTTTATTTATTTTCTTTTTTGAGGTTGAGTCTTCCCGTTTTGCCCAGCTTAGCCTCAAATTGCTGGGCTCAAGTGATCATCCTTTGGCTTCTCAGTATCTGGGGTGACGGGTTACACAATCACACTGGCCAGCCATCTGATTTTATACCATGTAACACAAGGTGGGGAGCAAAACAACCACCTCTTTGCATCAAATCATTATAAATTACTTTTTAAAAAAATCAGTCCCTTACCATTTCTGAAGTGCCTGATAGTTCCTCCCAAGAAAGTTTTCAGTTTACTGATTTTTTTTCCACTCAAAAAGAGGAGCAGTGCAATCAAGAATATAGGGCAGAGTAGTTTGGCTGCTTTAATTCTGCCTCACTTAAATTTAGTGTATTTATGTTGGTCACAGAGCAATAGAAGAAAGCTAAGAGAATAATGACAGTAAATTCAATCGTAGGAGCTTATGCATAGCTAGATTAGTTTCAGAAAATCAGGAAATATTTTAAACCTTCGCTGACCTTATTAAAATATATTTCCAGAAATATTCTGTTTGAGCCTTTCTCATGAATCAGTCATCTTGCATAACAGCTGTGGCAATATGATATAATAAAAAAAAAGTACAGTGATTTAGCAACAGGGAGGTTGGGAATTCTCATCTTGGCTCATTCACAAGGAGATTAAATGACATCCTAAAAGCCTCTAGATAAGAAAGCCACACATGAGAGCCGAATCATATGATCTGTCTATGATAGTCCCCCGTGATTCCCTGCTAGTGTTTAGAAACCATACAACATACTAGAAAATTTGCATGAGAGTGGAAGCTTCGCACAGAATTTCCATTCTTACTCTCAGAGGGCAAGTGTCACATGAAGAAGGACTGATGTGTGTAATGGTTTATACTTTATGTGGCACAGACAGAAAAGTGTTAAGTAACTTGCAGAATTGCAGAGAAAACTGAATCAACAAGATTATAGACTGAGCTTCCAGGAACAGCTTTCTGGAGTTACAACACAACTGGGCTACTGGAAGACCTGTTGCCTTCACCATGGTGGGAACCCTAAACCAGGAGGTTGCCTGTCTGTTTAGAAAACTGCAACTATAGTTCCTGGCCCCAGGAGCACCTTCTCTCTGTTACAGTCTGTGTCAACATAGTAAATGCCTGGTGTCCTGGCTCTGACCCAAGTCTCTGATGGAGAGTCTAAGTCATATGAAACCTTAGCTAAGAAAGAGTCTTGGGATTCATCTATCCAACCTCTGAGTGTGCCACATGCGGTTTGGAGGGAGCACGTGCCAACAGGGCACTGTGTACACTCCTGACAGTTATTTATGATAAATAACACTTGTATATTTCTTCACAACTGCAGAGATATTCGTGTGTTTTTCACTTAGAGATATTATTCTATTTATAAATATATTATTCCTGACTGTTTCCTAAGGCAGTTTAAAAATAATTTTAAATTCAGAAAACTAATTTTAAAATTAGGATTCCCCTTCCAGCTTCACACATTTTGTCCACATTGGTTTTGTTTCCATCTCTCTCTTTTCCCCCGCTGAGGACACCCTCCACCTTTTCAATTTGATGTGCTCTTTGCCATACAGACCTGTGAATGAAGAGTCAGAGCCCTCAGATGTGGATGCTGCTGGCCGATGGCGTGGAGTCTATGTCAACAGAGCATCTCCAGCTCCTCCAGACTCTACAACCACTGTAAAGTCCCTGATCAAGTCATTTGACTTAGGACACTCAGGTATTTCACAAAACCGTACATCCAAACCCTAGCCTTACATATCAAGCCTGCTTCTGCCACACCGGCCCCAAGTTGATAGAACCAAGGGCTCACCCTAGTTCCTGCCACCCTGTGCAGGGAGCCTTGCTGAGGCTGTGAGGCCATGGGTAACAATGGGACAGCCTCATCCCTACTTCCACTTCAGGTTGTACCCCTTCATTCCCTCATGGAGTCAGCAGTTTCAGGACCAACTTCCTGTATTCTGAGAACCGGAAGTGATCATCACCTGCCTGCATCTGGCCTCGTTGTCGGGTGTCTCAACCATCCTCACTTGCAATATGCTATTAGATGTCTTTCTATTTGGTCTTACATGGGAGCTTTTCTACTGATCTGTCTGTTGCTTCTGATCTGTCTGTTGCCAGCTTTTTCTGGACTTGTCTGTCTGACTCACAGTTTCGCTTTGGTTATGCATCTTACACACAGGAGGCAAGTACACATTCATACTTTAAGCATATGCACAAATATAGCATGTTGAAGAAACATTGTGCTTCTGTTCATGATAGAGATGACTTCCTTCTTTTGACTGCCATAAATGTGCTTTGTATTGGAAAACTGCAACAGTGGCTAATTCTAGGATGATATGGTTGTTTCTGCTAAAATAGTTTCCAAATTGCTTAGATTAAGATTAGACAACATATTGAGTGGCAGGAAAAGCCCGTGAGTCAGTCTGTAGATAGAGCATGAGTCATCAGTAATGATTGGTGCATTAACGCTCCTGTTGTTTTCCCCCAAGAAAATCCTCATCACATACTCCCTTACCTCTTCCTCCGATATCGACATCTGAGACCAGTTCTCACTCACCTAACACTTTTCACACTTCCCCTTTTGTGACCCCAATCCAGCTCTAATGCAGAGGAGAAAAGGGTAATAGAGTAGACATTATACTGACATTGTGGGAGTTTTGTTGTTTTGTTTTGTTTTGAGACAAAGTCTCTCTATGTCCTGGTTGTCCTGGAACTCACTGTGTAGACCAGGCTGACTTCTGCCACCCTCCTGAGTCCTGAGTGCTGGGACTAATGTGTACACCACCACACACAGCTCATCCTGAGTCACCTAACACGGGTAGCAGATCAAAAAACATTATTGCAGTTTTGAACTGGATTTAGGTATTTATGTTCTAATCTCTCCTTGGCAGGTGGAGCTGGACAGAGTATTGCTGTCCACAAGACTCCCAGAAGTCCCCTGAGTGGAATCCCAGTGAGGACTGCTCCAGCAGCTGCTGTCTCTCCAATTCAGGTATAGAAGAACCCAGAGGCAGCTCTTGTGTAACCCAGGTGTTCTTTACACTTGTCCATGTGTGCATGTAGAGCAAGAGGACTTGTAAATTAAAGTCTACACCCTTCCGACACTCATTTCACTTTAACAGTGCAGTGTAATACCTGTGACAACAGAGATACTTGGTATTTTGTTCACTACTAGGTCTCTTGGCTAGAACAGGGGATGACGGTCATTACATCACAGTAGAGCTCAATGAATTTCTATTTATCGCATGAAGGACTATATCAAAGGAACTTCCAGTGTTGATCGTCACTGTAATAGCCATTCTATTTTAAAGCCCACATCTGCATCATCTGCAGTTACTAAGTCACTCTTGATGGCTGTTCCGGTCATCGTAGATTTAACTTAGTACAAAAACAATACAGTGAGGGTCCTTGTGCAAGCTTTCGATGTCCTGAAGCCTTATTTCTGTATGAGAGCCTATCAGGATTCATTTCAAAATGTTGGAAATTGCTCTAGTTAGCAGAAAGGAATTTAGTTCAGAGGCGTTGGTACTTCAAGACTAGAAGAGATAGCTAAAACCTTGGTGAGCTCATGGGAAAGACTTCCTAACATCTCAAATTACCCCTTAAATGTGCTTCTGTTTTTGCTGGATTCAGAATATCCTTCACTAAGTGCTTACTTTGGACAGTGGCCTCCGAGGAGACCTAAGATCAGCTTCAGAACTATATACTACCACTTGTGCATCCAGGACAGCGAAACACATGCCTCATAATACCCACAGCTGTGGGATCAGACACCAGAGCTCCTCTGCAACAGGAAAGCAAATGTATGCACAGCCTGCAGAAGCAGCAGAAGGGCAGCTGCACCCTCCTGGCATCTTCCAGAGTTTTGAGATAGGCCTGTCTGACATGGTGAACCAAGCTTTAAGGAGTTTAGAAAGCATATCCTTAGTTTTCCAGTCTCTCAAAATAGTGAGCAATGAGGGGCTGGTCCTTAGAACTCTAGAAATGGAAAGTGTACAGTTAAAAAGGGAGAAGGATTGGCTCTGTCCTCGCACATTGAGACACTTCTGTGTACACTTTGTTCACATAGAAAGTTCTGTTTCCCAAGAATTTTGACGTTGTGTACCTGTTGAAGATTTTAGTAAGTGAGGTGACACTGGGTTTCACTTTTGTGTGTTGTGTGCTTCTTCTTACATGACTATGTAATGTTGCTTTGCATCTTCCAGGTATGTACTTACCTTCACACTGACCACTTTACTATGTGATTTTGGCTTTTTCCTGTTTATAAGATACTTTGATGCATTCTCTTTAACCTTTTTTTTTTTATAGAGAATACTTCTTTTAGGGGCTGGAGAGATGCCTCAGTGGTTAAGTAGACTTACTACTTTTACAAAGGTCCCAGGTTTAGTTTCCAGTGCTCACATGGAGCCACACAACTGTCTGTAACTCCAGCTCCAGGGGTCTAATGTATCTGGCCTCTTCAACAGGCACCTGTACTCACATGTATACCAACACACAAAGCAAGCCGCCTGACTTTTCTTTAGAAGTGATTGTTTTATCTTGTGAAATCATAATTTCCTTTTACTGAAGAGGTGGTTTTGTTTGTTTTTCCTGAAATGTTTTTTTACTAAAGATAACACTGTTCAGTATTTTCTTTCATGGCTTTAAGAACTTTTTGTATCATTTAAATATCCTTCTATTAGCTTATTAAAATATTCTTCTTTGGTATCAAAGAAGCCTTTTATTTTGTTGAAGAGTTTTTTGTTTGGCAGGGTATCACTGTATAGCCCTGGCTGACCTAGAACTTCCTATGTAGACCAAACTGGCTTTGAATTCACAGAGATCCACCCACTTTGCCTCCCAGGTACTGAAATCAAACACGCACACCACCATGCCTGACTTATTTGTTGAGTTTTAAAACCCACAAAAAACATTGGTTTGTATCTAGGTGTTTATCCCCCACCTTCAGTACCTCCTGGCACAGAAGTAAATCTTTTGAGAAAGGTAATCTCATATGGGAACCTACCTTACAGCTATTCATTTTCTTTCTTTCTCTCTCTCTCTCTCTCTCTCTCTCTCTCTTCCTTCTTTCTTTCTCTTAAATATGTTTTTTTGTTTGTTTTTTAAGACAGGGTTTCTCTTAGTAGCCCCAACTGTCGTGGAATTCTGCTTTGTAGACCAGGCTGACCTTAAACTCAGAGATGTGCCTGCCTCTGCCTCCCAAGTGCTGTGATTAAAGGCTTGAACCACTACCACCTGGTACAGCTATTGTTTCCATATACAGAGTCCTCTAGTCAGTTATAGAATTCCAGTCACATAGGAGTTCTTAAAAGGGGTAGGATTAGATCTGGCAGGAAGGAGATGTGAAGAAAGAAAGCCAAGAGTTTGGAGAGCTGATGAAAGAGTCGGGCCACATGCAAGAATGACAGTGAACCCAGGCTAGAGGTGTACAAAGAGAGCAACGTGGGTGCCTCAGTTAAAACTGCTAGAGACAAAAAGAAGCACTGTAGGACACTCAGGACCAGGCCCCTGGTGTCAAGGGAGCCAGACCACAGCTTCTCCATAAAATGATTGAAGCCAGAAGTCAGAGCAACTGGAGGAGAGCAGTTGTTTCCAGGGATTCCTTCTGACCTCCACTGGTACCCTCACACATGACACACACACACACACACACACACACACGCAACCAAATAAAAATAAATCTTTTTTTTATTCTCATATAATCATAAGAAATCATTATAATCACTTTGTGCTGATAACTTTGAAAAATCTTAGAAAATCATAAAGTTTATGTTTATTGGGCTGGAGAGATGGCTCAGTGGTTAAGAGCACTGTCTGCTCTTCCAGAGGTCCTGAGTTCAATTCCCAGCACCCACATGGCAGCTCACAACTGTCTGTAACTCCAGTTCCAAGGGATCTGACCCCTTCATACCAATGCACATAAAATAAAGTTAAATAATTTTAAAAAAGTTTATTTAAAAAATGTTTATTTTAGTAGCCTGGAGTTTAAATTATTTCTGCAAAGGAAATACTAGACCCAGAATGCTTAATAATAAAATCTAAAGCACTTAAGGAAGGGAATAACATCAATACTAGTTATGAATTCAAACAAATACTAGGAAAAAGGGATACACTTTTCAACTCTTGAGCCAGGGTAGTTTTATTATTTCTGGTAAGAACAGAAAAAAAACAGGACAATTAAAAGGTGAGTCGCTCATAAATCTCCATGTAAAATTCTTGAACAAAATCTTATCAAACCTAATTGAATAGTATATGAAAAATATGACAAAGGGGTTTTGCTCCAAGAATGGAAGGTTTTAACTATTAAGAAGAGTTAGGGAGCCGGGCGGTGGTGGCGCACGCCTTTAATCCCAGCACTCGGGAGGCAGAGGCAGGCGGATCTCTGTGAGTTCGAGACCAGCCTGGTCTACAAGAGCTCGTTCCAGGACAGGCTCCAAAGCCACAGAGAAACCCTGTCTCGAAAAACCAAAAAAAAAAAAAAAAAAAAAAAAAAAAAAAAAAGTTAGGGAACTCACCATAGTAACAAAGAAAGAAAACATGTATTCTCACCTTAGTGGGTAACAGCCAAGTGTAATTGAGGAATACCTTTGTGACACTAGCAATTGAACATGCTAGGCAAGCTCTCGACCTTTGAGCTATGTCCCTAGCTCTTGTTTTGTTTTTTGAGATAGGGTCTTGCTATGTTGCCCAGGCTCCAAGTAAGTCTTAAAATTTTAATCCTTCTGCCTCAACCTTCTGAGTTTTGGTGACTCTTCTTGATTTAAACAAAGAGAAAAACCTTAGGAGCTGGAATATAGTTTTGTAGTAGAATGCTTACCTAGTATAGACAAGGCCATGGGTTCAGTCTCCAGCACTACAAATTAAAAAATCCCCAGGTTGTTGAGATGGCTCAGTGGGTAAAGGCACTTGCCTTACAAGCCTAGCCAAGTTTGGCTGTGAGAACCCACGATGGAAGGAGAGAACCAGCCTTGTGGTTCTCCTTGTGTTATATTATCCTGTGATCACCACACTTTCTCTTTATGTCAGTGTCTTAATTAGGGTTTGTATTGCTGTTATAAAACACCATGACCTAAAGCAACTTGGGGAGAAAGGGTTTATTTCATCTTAGAGCTTGGAATCATCCCTAAAGAAACTCATGGCAAGGCAGGAACCTGGCTGAGGCCATGGGAGAGTACTGGTTACTACCTTGCTTCCCATGTCTTGCTCAGACTGCTTACTTATATCACCCAGAACCACCAACCCAGGACTGGCGTCACTGCCTGTGGGTTGGGCTCTCCCACATCAATCATTAATCAAGAAAACGCCCTGCAGGCTTTCCCACAGGCTCATATGGTGGGAGCATTTTCTCAACAGAGGTGGCTTCTTCCTAAATGACTCTAGCTCATGTCAAATTGACACAAAACTAACCAGCACAGTCAATTATGTAAGCCATTTTTTCTAAATTGTGACATACAGGTGCCAGTGTTCAATTCATGTGTACTCTCTCTTTCAAATTCTTTTTTTTTTTAATTTTATGTGTGTGGGTGTTTGGCATGCATGTATATATTTGTACCGTGCGCATGCTAATGCTCTTGGAGGCCAGGAAAGGGTATCAGATCCTTTGGAACTGGAGTTACAAGTGGTGGTGAGCTGCCATATGGGTGCTAGCAATTGAATATGGCTCTTCTGCGAAGAGCAGCCAGTGCTCTTAACCACTGAACAGTATCTCCAGCCTCTCTCTGGGAAATTCTTTAATCTATATCATCATAATAATATTTATTATTATTGGCAGTAATAATACTTTTTGATGAAATTTTGGATGCTCTTCTGTAAGACTAAATTGTTAGGAATCTTTTACTTAACATAATGACTTCAAAAATAAAATTTCAAAATGTTTTTTTTTGAAAATTGTATTCTAAAACAATGTTTATTTATGAGGACCACTGGGAACCATACATTTCATGCAGTGTAGAGTGGGACTCCTAAAAAATGCACTGGAAAGTTTCAAGATGGTTCTGTGAACTGTGTGTAGACAGTATCAAGGTCAGTATTGCTGTTCATTGTGGGTCGGATGAACTATGGAAATGATAGTAGCTAACTCATGAGATGCTCGCATTATCCTGAATGGATTTTTAGTCGTCTCATCCTCCCACCAATTTCTATGACACTATTAGCATCACATCATTTTCTAGCTAACGTGCAGAAAATCACATGGCCCAAAAGCACGTGGCAGTTGGTGGAATTCAGGCGGCAGAGGCCCCTCTGGGTCATGTGGTCACTTATACTGCAGTTCTCGTGTGAATCTGTAGTGGATACAGCCTGGCAAGAGTCCAGCACAACTCCAGGCCCACATGGAATTAACCCCACGATGTGTTCAACAAACAAAGCCAAATGGCACCCCATAAATATGGTGGTGTTAACATTTATGCTTTTATAGACACGGTATTTTTGTTTATGGGAATAGCCTGTGCGTGCAAGTGTGTGTATATGTGTGTGTGTATGTACGTGCACACGCATGTGTAGATATATGTGTGTATGTGTGCACGCGTGTGTGTGTGTGTGATAAGATCTGCACTTGTGTCTATGGGACAATATGAGGTATTTGACTCAAGTGTCAAATGTGTTAGGATAACCAACCACACTCTTGGGTTTTTTGGAGTTCAACGTAGTATTGCTAACTATAAACATGATGTCAGCTTGCGTATCACCAGAACTTTTTCCGGAAGTAGGACAGACTCTGCCATCCAACAGGAGTTGCTGGGCAAACATTTAGGCAGTTTTTACCTCTTCACTATTGTGAATAATGTTGCAGTCAACATGAGTGTCCAAACATCTCTTGAAGCTCTTGTTTTCAATTCTTCTGGTTAAAAGCCTATAAGTAGGGTCATATGATAGACCTATTTGGAATTTTTTTTTGAGACTGTCTTGTTATGTAACTCTGTCTGAATTCAAACTCACAACAAAGTCTTGACTGGCCACAACCCATAAAGATTTGTATACCTCTTCCTCCCAAGTGTTGGATTTAGGCGTGTGCCGCCACATCTACCTTTATTTTGAAGTTTTTGAGGAACCTTCATTCTATTTTATCTAGCATCATTATATGCCTACCCATAGTGCATGCAGATTCTAAGTTTTTCATATTGTCACCAATACTTGATGTTTTCTTTTGTTCTTAAATAATAGTCTTAAGAGTTGGAATGAGATGGTGTCTCCTGGTTCTGATTTGTGTTTTCATGATTGGTGATGTGGATCATTTTTATATATACTCTTTGACCCTTGAGACCCAGAAGGGATGTGTGTGTATGTGTGTGTGCATGTGCATGTGTGTGTGTGTAGTATGTGTATATGTGGTGTATACATGTCTGCGGGTATGCATATTTGTGCATGTATATGTGAAGGCCAGAGGTCATTATCAGGTATCTTCCTCATAGCTTTCTGTCCTATGTTTAGCACAGGGAGGGTCTTCTAGTGAACATGGAGCTAACCAATTTGCTAGATTAGCTGACCAGCAAATTCCCCTTTTTCTGCACCCCTCACCATCATGCCAGGATTCTCCTGCCTCTTGCTTCCCAGTGCTGAGATCATAGGCATGCTGTCCCACCTCACTTAAAATATGGTGTTTACAGATATCCTTGAGAGTGTATGGAATATTCCAGAAAGGGTATTCCTAAAACAGATTAATAACAGTTGCCACTGGGAAAAGGGAATCGGTGGTGGAAGTGAACTGGGGATTATCTTTCAGCCAATTGAACTTATTACAGTGACAATGTGCTTGAGAGTTGTGTCCAGGCACAGCAGTGTGCACTTGCATTCTGCTGCTGTCGCGTGCAAGCTCGTCATGCTGAGGTGCCCTTTGCTTTTGACAGAGACACTCGGCCTACAGCACCATGCGGCCAGCCAGCAAAGGGATGGCTCAGCGCTTGGATCTGCCGGACCTTCCCCTCTCAGGTAACTTGTGGAAACACAAGTGCTTTTGTCCTATTTTAGTGCTGTTCACTTTCCGTTGCATGAACTTGAACTTGGTGGTATTTATTTCTGCTGATTTCATCCCCTCAAGATGCACCCATTAGGTCCAGATGTGCAGCTCATACTGGAAGAAATGTCTTCTGCTTGCTACCTTCTTCAGTGTGTGTAGATGCAAAAGACATACCAACTTGGCTAAATTTGTTGTTGTTTTTTTTTTTATTATTGTTACTACTTGGTTTTGGTTTTTTCCAGACAGGGTCTCTCTGTGTAGCCCTGGCTGTCCTGGAACTCACTCTATAGACCAGGTTGGCCTCAAACTCAGAGATTTGCCTGCCTCTGCCTCCTGAGTTCTGGGATTAAAGGTGTGCACCACTATCTTCCAGCTGGGTTTTTTGTTTGTTTAGTAGTTTTAGTTTTTTGATACAGGGTTTCTCTGTGCAACAGTCCTGGCTGTCCTGAAACTTTGCTTTGTAGACCAGGCTGGATCTCACTTAGATACTCCTACCTCTGCCTCCCAAGTGCAGGGGTTAAAGGCGTGCACCACCAAGCCTGACCTTTTTTTTTCTTTAATAAACTGAATCTGAAGACAGTATCTCCTGTTCTTAAAAAAAATTTACTATGTTATACAAACTTTTGTCTAGTTTTGTGTTTATTAACTAATTCCACAGTTCTTAAAATGTACCATTTTTAGGCCCTTGAGTTTTATTCTCTTCCTCTTGTTGCACTGTATCCTTTTCAAACTCAGATCCTGACAGTGAAGCAGAGGTTGTAATTAGTGGGTCTCGCAGGTCACATTCTCATTCCTGCTGGGCCTCCAGTGCTGATGGTGCAGAGCTGTAGCCATTAAAAGGGAAGTAAGCGAAGCCCTAGTTGGCCTCGAGTCTCTTGGCATTGTCATTCCGAACATCCCAGCTTTGGGTTTGTTATGCTCTGGCTTCTTCATCTCTAATACAGAAATATTTCCTGAAGTAATAGGGGCGGCGGCGGGGCTGCGTCCCCAACACCCCAGCCGCCTGCCCGGCTAGCTTATGCCCCGAAATAATTACACGGACACTGTATTCTTTTAATCACTGCTTGGCCCATTCTCTTCTAGGCTAATTCTCACATATTAATTTAGCCCATTTCTAATCATCTGTGTGTAGCACCCCAAGGTGTGCTTACCAGGGAGATTCTAGCCTAGTCCATCCTGGGTCGGAGCTTCATCCCGGGAGCGGGGCATGGCGTCTCTCTCAGGCGTCTGCTCCCGAGAGGAGAGCTGTCGAGACTCTGAGCTCACTTCCTCTTCCTCCCAGCGTTCTGTTCTGTTTACTCCTCCCACCTATCCTCTAACCAATAAAATGGGCCAAGGCAGATCCTTTATTAGCCAATGACCTTCCTCCATCAATTTCCAGGGTTGGAGAGATGGCTCAATAGTTAAGAGCACTTGCTGCTCTTGTAAAGGACCTGAATTTCCTTCCCATCGCCTCTAATTCCAGGGGATCTGACACCCTCTTCTGAGCTCTGGAGGCACCAGCACTCATGTGTACAGTCTCACACTCACACATAACAAAATAAAAATTGATTAAAAAAAACTAAAAGAAAAAGAAACAACTTTACTTAATTGTGTCATTTGAAGGATTGAATTAATTCATTTAAAACCAGATCACTGCCTGGTGTGTCATGGGCATCATAGAAATCCTTGCTGCTAATCTTTCCTTGCTGTTGTCTGCTGAGCCTGTGAGCATGCTCAGAGAAAGAACAACAGTGCTTTTGCTCTAGTAAATGTTAGTAAATTTTCTGGAAGCTTGGTTCTAGTCCCCTGCACCAAGCTAATGCACAAAAGTATTGTGAAGTAAGACACAAAAAGTTATGCTTACTCTGTGTTGTAATTTAAGTATTACAATACCCATAGCTTGCTTAATAATTACGTTATCACAGATAATCATCCAGCAGCCTTCAGCAACTTAGCATCTTTTCCCAGCAGAAGGTCTTGTCTTGATGTTGATGTCTACTGACTTTGGTCAGGGGGTGCTTGCTGTAGCTGGGGTAATGGTGGCAGTTCTTAAGACACCAGTGATGTTGACCATGTTACCTCTCCTTGCCTTCCCAAAGGCTTTCTCCCACATCAGACCCAGTCCTTTCAAAACCTGACCTTCCCCTGAGTTCATGTCATATTGTAAATCTTTTGTTATCATTTCAGGTGTTCACACCGCCTTCACCAGGTAGGGATTCTGCCTTAAGAAGTTGCTTTCTTTGTTCCTCTGTAAGAAACAACTCACCACCCACCTCTCCTGAGATGGCGGCAGTGCAGTTGCCCCTCAGGTTCCATTGCCAGTCTAGGGCCTTTGCTATTTTCACACCTACAGTGATCCCCACCACTGACGTCTGGGATCCCTCAAAGTCATCATTGAGGGCTGGCATCACCTGCTTCCAAACTCCCATTGATAGTGACATTTTTACTTCTTCCCATGAATGTTCCTGTTGGCATCTGGAGTCCTGAGTTTTTTCAAAAAGCTTTCCATTTATTTTTCTCTGATTCATGAGAGGAATCATTATTTGTGGCAGCTATAGCTTATGAAATATTTGCTTAATAAGACTTGAAAGTCAGAATTACTCTTTGATCCATTGGCTGTGGAATGGCTGCTGCATCAGGAGGTTAAGAAATGTAAACAAAAGAACATTAATTTTGTGCATCTTCATCAGTATTCTTGAGTGACTGACCAGGTGTGCTTTCAGTGGGCAGTGAGGGTGATGTTGTTGATTTTGTTATTACTGCATGTTTCGATAACGTGTAAACATATATGTACCACAGCACAAATGTGGAAATCAGAAAACAATTTTCCTGATACTTTTTCATAGTTTCTGGGGATTGAACTCACTCAGGTCATCAGACTTGTGCAGCAAGCACCTTAACCCACTGATATATTTTGTAGTCCCTAGACAGTGTTATGATGATGATGATGATGATGATGATGATGCTATCATTATGATAATGATGATGTGTGTGTTGTATATGTGTGTGTTGTGTATGTGTGTACCATGTGTGCAGTACCCCGAGAGACCAGAAAAAGGGTCAGATCTCAGGAAACTGGTAGAGACTGATAGAGTTATGAACTACTATGTGAATGCTGGTAAGGAACTCGGGTTTTCTGCAAGAACAGCCAGAACCTGAGCTATCTCCAGTCCCACAGAGAGGTTTTGAAAAGAATTTTTGTGTATGAGAGCCATAGGTCTTAGCAGTGGGCTTTAAAGATTTCATACGGTGTTGTAAGGAGATGTACTGCAATCTAGTCTTTGCTGTTTTATTTACAAGGTATAGGCAGAATTGAGCTAAAACCTTTTTTAAGCTTCTCTAGCCTTGATAAATGCATATGGCTGTAACTTAAAGGCATTCAAGTCTGAGCACCTCTTTGCCAGAAATGAAGGGTGGAGGCCAAAACTTAAGATTGAAAACCTGTCTGGCTTAAATCTATGCATCATTATGTAATATCATAGCACACACTCATTATGCAGTTTAAAATAGAGAGTAACTTACTTGCACAATAGTGCTAGGCGATTTTTTTTTTAAATTGTGGTAGAAGCTGTACAACGTCAAACTTAGTATTCTGCGAGTGATCATAGTTTTCATGTCTTTTTCGGGCTATTCTACCAACTTCCAAGTTTCCTAATTATCTAAAGAGCCATTCTTTTGGTTGACAAGATAAATAATAAAGTTGAGACCACAATTATTGCTGTGCAGCTCATTGGCTGCCCTCCTCCTTCTTACCCCCCAGGCACCTGTCTCCTGGTGATGATTCTATTTACTATAATAAAGGACTGCATAGTGAAAATCGTTTGCTTCCAGCCATTTCCAGCAACTGCTTGTCAACATTGAGGTCATCCCTAACTGCAGATTAATGTTCTGTTTTTGTTTTGATCTTCAGTGATGTAGAACTGTTTTTCTCTGCTATTTAGACCTAATTGGCCTCATCGCCAACTTCATGCCCATAATTGGTGGCTATTAGCTAAAGAGGTCCTGTTTTCTTCTGTGACTGTGGGTGACAGGAGGTGGCCCCAGCTGTCCCGCTCAACTAACCACCTAAGTCTCACAGCTCCGGCTCTCACTCTGTCAGCCAGCCTCTAATATTCTCTTCTCCACTCCCTTCTGCTTTTGTGGTCCTTTGAGAGATACCTGGAGAATTCAGCTCATTTCTGTGCCTGTTTTCACTAATACTAATACAACAGCAGAACGGAGCCTTAAAGAGAGGGGGTTTGGTCAGGTTTTAGTGAACTATAAGCCTGTAGTTGGAACAGTTTTTCTCCTGTGGGCTATTGTTCTTGGTTCCCAGCTTTTTATCTGCTTCTGTGACCTGACAGTCACATGAGACATTTTCCTACCGGGTTTTTCTCTGATCCACAGCTAATGGAAACAACACTAGCTAGAGACAGAGCTAGAGGAGTGGGTGACCTCCTGGATAGTTGCACAAGGCTCTTGGAAGGGCCCATATTTTACTTAATACTCTGATCACTGTCTGAAAATTTAGAACCATTTTTCAACAAAAGACTGCTTTGACATTAAGCTGGCTTGCTTGCTTGTTTCCTTCCTTCCTTCCTTTCTTTTTTCCTCAAGTATGTTTGTGCACCACTTATATACCTGGTGCTTTGGAGGACAAATGAGGGTGTTGGATACTCCAGAACTGGAGTCTCAGATGACAGTTGTGGTGGTAGGCATTGAACCTAGCCAGTGCTTTTTAACCACTGGGTCATTTCTCCTGCCCTAGTACTGTGGATCCTTCTTTAAAGATATATTTTATATTTATTTGTTTGTTTTGTGTATGTGAATATGAGTGTGGGTTTATGCATCTGTGAACTTAAGAGGAGGACAAAAGAGGATACTGAGTGTTCTTATCGTTTACTACCTAATCCTTTTGAAGAAGGGTCTCCCCCTCAATCTGAGGTTCTCATTTTCTTGGCTAAGCTGTGTGCCCATAAGCACAAGCAATTCTCTTTGTCTGCATTTCCATTAGAGTTGGGGTTGTAGATGCGTGCAGAACACCTAGCTTCCTGGGATCTGAACTCAGGTCCTCATGATTGTGTAGTAAGCAGTCTGAACAACTGAGCCATCCACCCTGGCACAAGGTCTTGTGGAAAAATACCATGTCCCTATTTGCATTTTTATTATTTCAGAAAGAAAAACATTTATGTGCGTATATGTGTATATATAGGAGTATATACACATAACCTATGTAGATAAGTCTTTGTACTTGATAATAAAATATGATAACCAATCAGATTTCTTCTCTTTAGAAATGGGTGACAATGTTGTTATTCACACAGATCTTCTGAAGGGAAGGGCCGAGGACCGGAAGTCAGACCCTTATCTCCGGAAGAGTCCCTCCCTGGAGTCCCTGAGCAGACCCCCCTCCCTGGGCTTTGGGAACACCAGACTGCTGAGTGCATCCACCGGGGGTTTGAAACCAAGCAAGCTCAGGTACTGAATTTCAGAGTATGAGATTAATGTTATTCTCTTCCGTCTGTTTCATCCAGTCAACTTGCTTCTGAGTGACAGTGACTGAGATATAGAACACACCTTCCACAAGGCAAATAAGAAGATACTTACAGTGGTTTGGGACAAAACCACATGAAGGGCTGTGCCTTTTTAAGCAGGGGCCCTGAGATGTATCAGTGAGTAAAGGCTCTTGTGTAAGCCTAATGACCCGAGTTCAGTCACCAGAACCCGTGGAAAAGAGAAACCACTCCACAAAGTTGTCCTCTGACCTCCATATGCAATGCGTGGCACACATATGCTAGACGCACACATCAATAATAGTAGAATTTTTAGAAAGTGAAAATTTTAGCAAAGAGGAGCTGAAGAGGTGGCCCAGTGGTTAAGAACAGGTTCCGTTCCTAGCACCCACATCAGATGGCTGTCAATTGCCTAAAACTTCATTTTCAGGGGACCTACCACCGTCTTCTGGCCTCCAGAAGCACATGCACATGTATGGTGAACATACATACACTCAGGCACACATGTATACCCATAGAATAAGTCAATCAATGTTTAAAGTTTAAGCAAAAGTACTTGAGGGGTTGTTTGAATCAGAAAGTCTAGAGAGGAATGGGATTCCTGTCAGTAGCTGTAAAGGAGCCAGGGGGAGTGAATGATGGAACTCAACCCAGGGCCTCAAGAAGGCCCTGCCAAATATACAGCAGACTCCTGGCCAACACAGGTAGACAGTTGGGGAGCTACAGCCGTCAAGGTAGGTTGGAGCCCTATTGCAAACAGTCTGCATTGCCAAAAAGAGCTTCATACTTATTTTGGTAAAGCAGTGGGGAACCACTAAGTCTGTGGGATTGTGTTTTTGTTTCTGAATAGTGATTAAGAGCAGACCTGCTATTTAAGGAAGATTATTGAGAGCACAGTGGCATAGAAAGAGGATTAGAGAGACGTTTTTAAGATCAGTTTTTAAAGGGGTGTTAGCAGAGAGGTATAGTATGCGGCAGAGGAAGAGACGAACAGTAAGCCTAGATAGTCATCAGAAGCCTGTGTTTGAACCCATGCTTCTGACGCCTCCTCCCTGCCAGTGCCCCTGGTCACCAAGGTCCCACCTGTCTTCCCCTCTCCCCGGAGTCTTCCCTGCTTTTCCATGGCAGTCTTCTGATTGAAGCACCTAGTGTCCCGCCATGGACAACCCTCATAGCAGTCCTCACTCTGCATCCTGCCCTTCTGATCTGCGCAGTTTAGCTCCATCCCACTCACCTGTGATGCTGGCTTCATCCTTCACTCCTGGATAAATGGAAGACCAAAAAATTTACCATTAAAAATAGTACATAGGAGATGGCTCAGTAGGTGAGAGCATCTCCTGTGGAAGCAGAGGACCTAAGTCCAACTCCTGCTTGGGTGTCTTCCACTCATTTGACTGTGTAACTCCAGTACTTCTTCTATAGTATGAGTAACTTGCTGTTGTCTCATGGATGACAAATATGTCATCTTACCTTTGGGTATCCTTTCTGGTGCTCTGCCTTGTGTTCCATCTAACGGTTCACCCACAGATGAGTCTAAAGTGCTGTTTACTTCAAGGATAAGAACTTTATAGTAGGTAGTATAATCATCTATTTGTGTCTTATGGGAAGTTTTGTGAGTGTGAATACATTCAGATCGGATGCATCTTTGGATGAAACCAATATTTGATCCCAAATAGGTAAATTCAGGCATTTCAAGAGCTTTATGGATGTCCCAGATATAGATCACCTGCTTGTCTGCATATGAACTAATTAATAGAAACGGGTTTGAAGGGCCAGAATTAGTGCTACTCTCAAATCAATGCTGTAAACACACAGGAAATTTGCATATATGAATATGCTATTTATAATATACCTTTCTTCATAAGAGGTCAGATTAGTGACCTTAATTTCTTATCTCTTTTACATTCATGTTATTAAGATTAACCTATGACAGAACAGAATTTTTTAGATTTTTAAGATTGTATTCATTCATTTTTATTTGTGTGTGTGCCCTGCGTCAGTGTGCATGTGGAAGTCTGAGGAAACTTCTACCGACTATAACTTCTAACATAAGTATCAATAAGGATTGAATTCTGGTCACTGGACTTGACAGCAAATGCTTTTACCTGCTGGACCTTCTTGTCAACCCTGAAATTGCTTGCATTAGAAACTCAATCTGCATATAGCTATGTGTGGTCATGCACACCTACAGTTCCATCAGTTAAGAACCTGAAATAGTCCAGGAAATGGTGGTGCACACCTTTAATCCCAACACTCAGGAGGCAGAGACAGGTGGATCTCTGTGTATGAGGCTAGCCCAGTCTACGGTCTACAGAGTGAGTTCCAGGATAACCAGGGCTACACAGAGAAACACTATCTCAACAAAATGAAAAAACTAAGGCAGGAAGATGAGGAGTTCAAGGCCAGCCTGAGGTACATAATGAGTTCCTGTCTCAAAATAAATTTTAAGCCTCTATTTTTAAATATCTTATGAGGGCAGTCATTTAATTGTGTAACATTGGGTGTTCTTCTCTTGCTCTCCACTTTATTTTTTGAGACAGGTTCTTACTGAAGCTGAAGCTTGCCTCTTTGGCTAGGCTGGCTGGCTAGTACTCAGAGCCATCTGTCTCCATTCCCCATCCCTGGGGTCACAGGCATGGTCGACCATGGGCATTTTGAACTTGGGTCCTCTGCTTTCGCAGCAGGTGCTCTTACCTGCTGAGCCATCTTCCCAGCCCCATATTTAAGTATTTTTAATGGTAAATTCTTGAGCCTTCCATTTATTCAGAAACTACTTTCTCTAACTAGTCAGTTATAAAGGATGGTATAATTCCAAGTGTGACTACCATGGCTTAATTTTATAAGTTACCTAGTACATGGAGAAGCTGTCACCAAATTATACAGGAAAGCCGGGCGATGGTGGCGCACACCTTTAATCCCAGCACTCAGGAGGGAGAGGCAGAGGCAGGCGGATCTCTGTGAGTTCGAGGCCAGCCTGGTCTACAGAGCTAGTTCCAGGACAGGCTCCAAAGCCACAGAGAAACCCTGTCTCGAAAAACCAAAAAAAAAAAAAAAAACAAATTATACAGGAAAGTTTTTAGTTCATATTTCAAGTACTTTTCTTGAAACCTATCTACCTTAGTTCATATTCCTGAGATCTAGAATCATCTATTCCTCTGTTAAAATTATTGAAAAATATTTTTATTAGGGGTCTGGAGAGATGACTTAGCTAGATAAAGTATGTATTGTACAAGCATAAGGACCTAAGTTTGGATAGCCAGCCCCTTACCTTGTCTATGACCCTAGTGCGGGGAGCAGGGCTATGGCATGACATTGGTGGATCCCCAGAGCTCTTTGGATAAGGCAGAGCGCAATTAAGGAAGACAGTTGACACCAACCCCTACGCTCCACACATGTGCACATACACACATGCGCCTTCATGCATACATTCTCTCTCTCTCTCTCTCTGCACACATACAATTTTTTTCTTATTATGTTTTACTCTAAGGCTTGATGATTTTAACTTATGAAGTAAACTGGCAATCGATCAACCAGAAACACTTACAAAATTTTGTTAATGTGCATAAACATGGGAACCATGGAGAAACCATGAGACTGAAGGTAGAGGTTGAGTGGTTAAAACCTAAATAGCCTTGCCTAGGGGAGAAGGGAGGGGGACTAGGTGAGTTTTAGGTGGGTACCATGAGCACTCCTCTGAGCTCTAGCTGTAGTATTTGACACAGGTTTTCTTCCTCTGTTGGTCTGGCAAATGAAGATTAAAGGCAATTGTGTTAATCTTTTCTTGGACCTGGTCAGATCCAGGGGAGAGTTTTGCAGAAAGTCTGTGTCCATGCTGAGAAGGGGAATAACCAAGGACAGGCAGTGGGGGCTTTTATTAATTAGCTTTCTTCCCATCATATAACCCGAGATGACTAACCTCTCCAAAGAAAAGGTTTGTTTTGGCTCATGATTTGAAGATTGAAGGTCCATGATCTCTTGGTCCTGTTGCTTTGGTCCTGTTGTAGGGTGGTAACATGTAATATCACATACCTGCAGTAATTTTTCTTACCATGGTATATTCCATTGAATGTGATTAGACCTCAACTTATTTATCTGTTTGCTTGTTGGCATGTAGTTGGTTATCTTTTTACCATTGTAAGAGTACTACCATGAGCATTCTTGGGTCTGTGTTTCAATTATATCTATCTACCTTAGCAGTAGATTGATAACTCCTATTCCACTGCAGGTTTTGCCCTTTGGTGAGTCTTTCTTTCCCTGTCCTGCTGTGGATGGTGTTGGGGAATAGAGTACTATACAAAACTTCTATAGCAATATACTTCTGATTCCATGACCCGCATGCTAGAAGGGAAGGAACTGTATGATCTTAAATCTCTTAATGATATTTGAGTAATTTTGGTTAGCATAAATATTAATGTCATTGTTGAGCAAGATCAAGGATGGGTTCCTAAAATGTGCTGTTAGGATTCTAAGATATTATAGGAGTGATGTCATCTCAACTTTGGCTCATCTTGTGCTCAGATTCCATGATCCATAAACTGGGCAAAGACTGAGTCAATTCATTTCATTTTATGAATTTCTCTTCCTCTCTACTCTCAGAACCTCCTGTAACAGCTAGTTTACAGTTTCACTATGCCTTTTCATTTATCTTTCATATGTTAAAGTATATTCATGTGATGTGTAGAGGGGAGTTTTTTGTTTTGTTTTGGTTTGATTTTTCAAGACAGGGTTTCTCTGGGTAGCCCTGGCTGTCCTAGAACTCACTCTGTAGACAAGCTGGCCATGAACTCATGGAGATGAGCCTGCCTTGACCTCCCAAGTGCTGGGACTAAAGATATGTGCCATCGCAGCCTGGCTGACACAATATATTTTTAATGTGACTAATTTAGCTGTTTTTTTAGAGTACTGTTTGAATAAACTACACTTTGGCTTTTTTTAAATCTAATTATTTTTATGTATATTTTAGGCTTTTAAAAGCCAGCATCTTAACCAGGTGGTGGTGGCTCATGATTTTAGTCCCAGCACTCAGGAGAGGGAAGCAGGCAGAACTCTGAGTTCCAGGCCAGCCTGATCTAAGTAAGTTCTTAGATAGCCAAGGCTATACAGAGAGACCGCGCCTTGAAAAACAAAACAAACAAACAAAAAAGCCAACTTCTTGGCCGACGAGATAGTACACACCTGTAATCCCAGCACTTGGGATGTGGAGGAAGGAAGGAAGATCAGGAGTTCAGAGTCATCCTTGCCTATAGGGAATTCAAAGTCACCCTGGGCCATATGAGACCTTGTCTCAAAAGAAAAACAAAAAAGCCATTCCACCAACACCGTCCTTAACTGAGTTTTCTTCTTTGTAAACAGTGTTGAAAGAAGAGACCCTCTGGCAGCCTTGGCCCGGGAGTATGGTGGCTCTAAGCGTAATGCACTCCTGAAATGGTGTCAGAAGAAGACAGAAGGTTATGCGGTAAGGAGCGGTGCTGCCAATTGGATGTTCGTGGTCCTTTCCAGGTCCATGTGTGCATGTGCTTGGTGGCCCAGTTTGCATATAATGTCATCTCTGTTCTCTCAGCCGTGACTTCCAGGGAGGGTCTGGTATTTGTGTACTGTACTATGCTAAGGCCTCCCTGTGAGGAGAGAAGAGGTGGGGGAACAGAAGGCCAGTCTGCGAGCACTCACATTTGCTGCGGGGGGGGGGGGGGGGGGGGGGGGGGGGGGGTGCGTTTTCGCTCACTCCGCCCTGGCCAGAGCTGTTGATAAAGCATCTTCCCAAAGAGGCAGCTCTTTCTCCTATGCATAAAGGCTTCCCAAGTTTTCTCATCTTTTTTTTTTTTTTTGTAACTTTATGAGTTTTCATTTAGTTTAGTTTGTCTAGGGTGGTGTTTACTTTCTGAGAAGAGCAGACAAGGAAGTGATACCTGATATAGGTTTAAACTTTTTATTATGAAATTATATACAACAAGGTAAAAGTGCATGAATTAGTCTCATTAATCATTACGAAATGAGAACCCAGTGAGAAACCCCATCCTGAAGTAGCATCTCCAGTTCCCACAAACCTGTCAGGACTTTCCAGCCAGAGCCCCTTGCAGCTCCCCGAGGTTCCTGTCTGCCTCATTTCTCTCCTTGTGGTTTCTGTAACAGTGTGAGTGCTTGAGTAGTGATACCTTTCTCAGCTCTTAGATAAAAGGAACAGAAAGCTGTATATTTGCATCTTTTCACACAGTATTAAGTTAGTAAGATTTGGCAGGTGGTGGTGGCACACGCCTTTAATCCCAGCACTTGGGAGGCAGAGGCAGGCAGATCTCTGTGAGTTCGAGGCCAACCTGGTCTTAGAAGAGCTAATTCCAGGACAGGTTCCAAAGCTACAGAGAAATCCTGTCTCAAACACCCCCCATAAAAAAATTAGTAAGTTTGCCCTTTATTGCTATATTTTATTTTCCTCACTATTTAGTAACACGTTATGTGATTTTTTTTTTTTTACTTGTCTGCTCTATTGATATTCTTATCGCTGCTGGATGTGCTCTTAGGTATGGTGTGCCTGGGTCTTAAAGCTGCATGAACATATTCAAATGTCGTAGATGATGCCAAGCAAATTTCTCTGTAACTGTGCATTGTCCACCCCACCAGCAGTTTATGGGAGATGTGTTCCTGCGTGTTCTCATCAGCGTGCTGTGTTCTTCACTCACGGTGTTTGGGAAGAGCTGTAGTGGTATCTCGTTATGGTTTTGGTATTTGTTAGCCTGTTGGATACTGAGATTGCGCATGTGTGAACTGGTCATTTGGACAGCCTCTCTGTAGAGACGTACCTAGTTAGGCCTTTCATCCTTATGTATTTGCTTTGCATTTATTTTTGGTCGTCAGGAGCTTCCTACAAAGCACACACTCTGCCACTGAGCTGCTTTCCAAGTTCCTGCCCATCCTTAAAATAATTTTCTCTGTTTTTTCTTTATTGCTTTAAAAACTTCTTTATATGGACTGGAGACATGGCTCCACAGTTAAGAGTACTCGTTGCTCTTCTAGAGTACGTGAGTTCAGTTCCCGGCACCCACGTGGTGGCTCACAGTCGTCTTTTCCAGGGCTCTGACACCTGCTGATGCACATACAGATGTGCAGGCAAAACAGTCATATATAGGTAAAATAAAACATAAATTCTAATTTTTAAAAGTCTGTGTTCTTTGTTAAATTGATGTATCACAGATCCTTTTTTTCTCCCCCCCCCCCCCACTTTTTTTGTTTGTTTTTGAGACAGGGTTTCTCTGTGTAGCCCTGGCTATCCTGGAACTCACAGAGATCTGCCTGCCTCTGGCCTCCCAAGTGCTGGGATTAAAAGGTGTCACCAACCCTGCCCCGCATACACAGATTCTTTAATGTGACTTGAAATTCCACTCTTGAGAAGCAGAAATCTTAATAAAATATTTTGTATTTATTTTTTTCAATTTGTACATGTTTGTGTGTGTGTATGTGGGCACATGCCTGCCACCACGGTGCACCTTGAAGGTCAGAGGACAACTTTGTAGAGCCGGTTCTCTCCACAAGCAAGTGCTTTTACCTGCCACGCCAATCTCTTGCCAGCTCAGAGCTCTTAATTTCTACTATACCTGATTAGGGCCAGCTTTTTCCTCTAGTGGCTAAGTGCTTTTGATATTCTGCCTAGGAATCATGTTTCTGCGAGCCACGTGTGGTAGCACACGCACTTAATCTCAACACTCTGGAGGTAGTGGTATGCTGATCTCTGAGTTCTAGGTCAGCCAGGAATTCACAGTGAAGCTTTATTTTTCTAGCGTTAACTCTAAGTGGATACTCCTTTTTAATTTCTTTCCTTGGCTTTGTTCCTCCTTTTTGCTAAAACTTAGGAAGATTCCGACGTTATAGTTCACCTTCCTAAGGTCAAGCTTTTGAAAGTAGCTAGGACTGAGAACGAAGCTAGAAGAAACCATGGCTTGACTGAGACTCAGCCCAGTTAGCTGAGAAGCAGGGCTGAGATTCTCTCTGTTCTATTAACAGAGTCTACCCAAGAATAGTATTATCTTGGCATTTTTTTTAAATTCTCCCTTTATTTCACAAAACTTAAGGTATGGTCATAAAGGCTCCCAGGATACACTTACTTCTAGTTTATTTTTCTTCCTTAAGCGTTTCTGTTTACCCCATGTAAGCCCCATTCTAAGGGATGGACTGTCCCACAAATGGAAGCCAATTCAATAGCAGCAATCCCTGCGTTTGTCAGCCACGCTGCTGAGGAAATGGAAAAGCAAAAGGAGCAAGAGATTGCCGAATATTTGTTTGTGTGTGGCACCGGGCGGGGAGTTGTGTGCTAGCGTCAAGACAATATGGTAATGGAAAATGGAAGAAAACAATCAAAAGGAGTAATCAGCCTCAACTGTGGCTGAGCCCAGTGCGGTCATTTCTGGCTGGGTGCTGTCATTTCTCTACTACAGAAGTGGATCCAGGACAGAGCTAAGAGGAGGTAAAAGGCAATTACAATTTTCAGAATAAATTGGCCCTTTGTGGCATGATGTTATAATTAGAACGAGGGAAGGAGATTGACAGAATATTTCCAGTAAGTTGAAAGAAAACTATTTCTTGCTATACTAAACTTTTTGTTGTTTTGTGAATATCTTGTATTAAGTTTTCAAAATACTTTTATGTTTGGTGAAATCCACAATGTATTGTGTGTGAAGAATATTTTTCACTCATGGTTAAATGTCTTTAAGTTTAGAAAGAACTATAAATCACACATGTGTCTCACTTACACCTTTGACAAACTATTCCCCAGCTAGACCAGTTTGTACAAATTGTTCCCTAAACTGTTCTGTAGTTACTCTGAGAATTAAGAGGCCAGAACCAATTGTTGAAAGTTCAGATGGTTCATAATCTTTTTGAAGACCAGTAGCCATATGTGTTTTTACTTCAAATAACTTTCTACCTGTCTTTCTACCTAGCCAAGGGTTGCTTTGAAATGGACAGTGTGGCCGAGCGGTGGTGGCGCACGCCTTTAATCCCAGCACTCGGGAGGCAGAGGCAGGCGGATCTCTGTGAGTTCGAGACCAGCCTGGTCTACAAGAGCTAGTTCCAGGACAGGCTCCAAAACCACAGAGAAACCCTGTCTCGAAAAACCAAAAAAAAAAAAAAAAAAAGAAAGAAAGAAAGAAAGAAAGAAAGAAAGAAAGAAATGGACAGTGTGGAAGGGAGGCCTTGAAACACCAGTTCTCTGGCTCAGGGTCCCTGCTGACAGCCAATAAGTAGCATTGAGCATTAGAATACTGAGGTCCTGTTGGTACCCACAACATGCCTCTTGGGGTGCTTTATATCTGTGAGGTTGATGGTTACAGGTACTGCAGCCAGCTGGGCTGAGGAGTTAGTTTGCTTTTCTTCTGCCTTCCTTCCCCAAGGGACCTTGACCTGGATTGCATAGAATTTACCCCAAATCTCTGTAAAGTCCTCTATTACCTCCTAAGTAGCACAAGGAATAGTTCTCTCACCGGGCACCTTGGCTATGTTCCTAGGGCCTTGCCATGTCCTGGACTCTGGTAGACACTGGTGATTCAGTCTAGGTCAGGGCAAAGTTACCAAGTGTGAAATCTGCTAAGGCTAATTGAGTTTGGAAGCTGATTCTTTCCTGAGCCTCTAGGTCAGAGTCCTGCCCCCATCATGTGGAAACAGAAACAAAGAAAGCTGCTAAGCAAGTGCTGTTTAAGCTGCTCCGCCTGTAGTCAGGCCACACACAAAACCTCACATTCCCTTCTGTAGGTTCAGATGTTTGCTTCTGCTAAATGATGGGCAGGGGACAGTCTTTCCGCCTAGCCATTCCTATCATTCTTGTATAGCCAGCTTTTTCAGCTTGCAGGCTTTTGGAATCTTGAGGTACATAGTTGTCGAGAGCACCCTTTAGACTGGGGTTCTCCATGTTGCTCACATATCAGAATTGCCTGAATATCAATCTTAGCTCTTTCAGGTTGCTGCAACAAAATACCACAGATAAAATAGTTTACAGACAATAGGAAGTTAAGGGTTAGGAAATCAAAGATCAAGGCAGATCTATGATAAAGAAAGCCTGTTCCTGTTTCATAGGTGGCACCATTGGCGGTGTCCTTACATGTTGAAAGGGTTAAGACAGATCTCAGGCCCTTTCTGTAAGGACACTGATCTCGTCAGGGGACATACTGTCTTCCAAAGGCCCACCTCCTAAAATCATCACCATGGCAATCTGCAGAGTGAGCGACACTCACAGCCCTTCTTTCATATCTTTAGTGGGATAATTTAAGATGCCTTAGGCAAGGTGAGAAAACTCCATCACCAAGATTATCTCCCCTCGGAGCCTTTCACTAGTCAGTGTGATTCACATTTTAGCTTCCTATTTCACTAAGGCACAATCCAAGTCTCCAGCTTGTTTCATAGGTACTGGGATCGGAGAGGAGTGAGACTAAAAGGCCGTGAGAGGAGCAGTAGTTAAGAACTGGATGCTGTGTC